TGAGGCAATGCATATAGCAAATGTGGAAATTTGTTTTGCTTGACTATACACATTTGTTAGAAAGGTTCCTTTCCTTTCTTTTTTCTTTTATACTGGGAAGGGAGGGAAGATTATTGATTATTAAATGAAAAATGAAAGAAAATGAAAGGAAAAATAAATCATGCCAAACTCCCGCTGACAATGCATACCTTATTCAAGGAGAGAGTTGGGAGTAATTGCACATAATGGACAGCAAATAACATCACAGCCAGTGAAATGGATACTACTTCAACAGATAAGAAATATTTAGCTACTAATGTGAAAATTGTGTCCCAATTAACCATTTGAATATGGTCAGGCCACAGCTTGTTAAAGCAAAGATAAAAATCTTCATGAAACTAGAAACAATTTGAGGATTCTCTTTAAGACTAGATGGCCCCTTCTAAATTTGAAATTCTGTGGAAAAGATAATGAGAAGAGACACATGATGCTACTTTAAGCTGAGACATAAACAAGATGCTGCTGCTGAAAATGAAAAGTGGGCCAAAACAACACATATCACGTCAGATTATCACCATTTCCTAAGTAGGTTCAGCTTACGGAAATAAATCAAACAATGCATTAAAATAAGGCTACCCCGTTCACCAAAAATGTTAGCCACCGTCACGGGGATTACAGACTATTTTAAGAGCCTCCTAATGCCCTACTCTCCCTGCTAGAAACCCGGATAAGATCTGTGCAAGATGAGGAGGGGTGGAAGGGATATCATCTTTGCCATTTGATACACAACCATATTGATGAATTCACAAATTCATTAACATTTTGAACACCTATCAGAAAAAATTAACACAGAAAAATACACACATACATATATGGATATGTTGTTGCTTCACAGGGTAAACATCAGTTTTTTTTGTAAAGTCATTAGTAAAAACTATAATAAAGCAGCAGAATTGGATTTAATAATTGTGTAGAGGACAGGAGTGCCAGATAACTATCACAACAACAGTAACAAAAACAGTAGAGAGTTATCATTTATACAGTTACTTAAGGTTTACAAAGTATATGACATTTGATCATATGTGATCATATATAATGTCATTCAATTCTCACAGGAACCCTGCAAGGTAGGTGTTATTATGCTTCCCCTTTTATAGCTAGGGGAATAGATCAAGAAGTTAAATGAGTTCTTGAGGCCCTGGAGCTGAATGTTTGATTCAGGATTCAAACTCAGGTCTTCATGAGATCTAGTTTAGCACTCTAATCTCTGTATCACCTGGCTGTCAGATAAACGAGATATAAGTATTCATATATGCAGAGAATGAATGGATAAAGTATTTATTAAATACTTATTATGTGTAAAGCACTTGGGGACACAAATAGAAAAGTGGCAATTCCCGCCTCTCTGTGTCTTTCTCTGTCTCTGTCTCTCCTCTCTCTGTTGCTATCTCTCCTCCTCTGTCTTTCTATGTCTCTGTCTTCATGTCTCTATTTTTCTATGTTTTTGTCTCTCATTCTTTCTGAATCTCTCCCTCCACCTACCCCCCACATACACATATGCACATGTACACTTTAATGTGGGAGATAGCATATATGGAAAGTTGCAGCTGCAAATGAGATGGAAACATCCCATTTGAGACACACAGAAATGTTCTAATACCCCCAGGGTACATATGAACTTATGACATCAGCAGCATGGATTAAATGGTGATTCTCATACAATAGATGTGATAATTTAACTGAAAAGTGCCAGCAACATTGTGCATAGCCAGGTCTCACCTCATACTGAGATTCATACAGTCTTCTGTAAGTAAATCTTATGATGGGGGAACATAGATGACATGAACTAGCTCCCCAGAACTCAGACAGATTGGCAGTTATGGCTAGCCTGGGTTCTGAAATCCCTCAACAGTCTCCCTTTCTGGAGAGAAAATGCTGGGAATCATTGTCTAGGCTCCTGTGAGTGCCATGGGGCAGAGTAATTGTTTCCACCCTAATTCCGTTGCTCCTGGATCTATTACATGGATCCTCTATTAATAAGGCGGGAGTTGGTGGGGGAAGGGTGGTGTGGGGCATCAAAATACTGTTGCTTCTGCATCTTGGGCAAGTTTGTTCATTAAGCTTTGTGGAAGGACTGAAGGCACTTGCTTGTTTCCTCTGTGAATGGGCCATTCGAGTGTGTGGGAATGTTTTCACAGCACCGCGCCTCTCCTGTTCTCTTCCATAAACCCAGCCACCTCACGTGTCTCCTCATATTAGCACCATCAGTCCACAAAGCGAGCTCTCATGAATGGGGGCTGATGTCAGCAGTTCCTGAATAGCCTGTGGAGGGGCATCTGCCCCCTCACCCTCATTCCTGGGGAGGGGATAAAGTCACTAGGGAGATAGCCAATCCATGGCTGCCTATATCTTAAGCAGCTCCAGCAATGGAAAGAAGGAAGAAAAGAAAGAAAAGGAGAGGAGAGGTGAGGAGAGGAGAGGAAAGGAAAAGAAAGGAAGAAGGAAGGAAGAAAAGAAAGAGAGAAAGAAAAAGAGAAAGAAAAAGAGAAACAAAATAAATAGAAAAGGAAATAGAAAAAGAGAGAAAAAAGAAAAAGAGGGAAAGAAAGAACAAAGAAAGGAAGAAAAAAGCAAGAAAGATAGAAAAGAAAGAGAAAGAGAAAAAACAAAAGGAAGAGAAAAAGAGAAACAGAAAGGGGAAAAGGAAGGAAGGAAGAAAAGAAAGAGAGAAAGAAAAGAAAAAAGAGAGAAAGAAAGAAAAACAGAAAGACAGGCAGAAAGAAAGGAAGGAAGGAAGGAAGGAAGGAAGGAAGGAAGGAAGGAAGGAAGGAAGGAAGAAGGAAGGAAGGAAGGAAGGAAGAAAGAAAGAAAGAAAGAAAGAAAGAAAGAAAGAAAGAAAGAAAGA